GGGGTTAGGTGTGGAGGCATGTTCCCCGGGAAATATTTGAAATCCAGAAGTTCGAAAATGTAATTTCCAGCATTCTGGGCATGAAAAAAAAGTGCTTACGAGCTAAAAAGACGGTCCAAGAGGTCTTTTAGGCGGAGATAGACCGCCGATAACCACCTTTTATTGACTTGTGGTACGCGAAAATCTAGTATTGGGTAATTTTACTATGGCGATGGTCCTTGTTGCATCATGCTGAGAAAATAGGGATGATTGTCAACTGTAATGAGCCATTGCGCTCTTAGGAGTTGAGTCCGTTTGAGTTGAGTCAATTTGTGGGTCGGTATTTCCGAAAGTGCAGTTCAGATGAATGATTTATATCATTAAAAAGAATGAGCTCGTATGACGTCAAGATTGAACGACAGTAAACGGCTTGATCGAAGATTGAAAAAAGAAAACAGGAAAATAAATTTCGATTGCTTTGACATCATGGGAGAAGAGCTGATATTTTTACAGTGTGCGTTTAAACCATCCCCATAAAATTGAAGTCCAGAAATACTTATTACTTATCTGAATTTTTGTTGTTGTTGTTCTCATCTTGCATCCAAGGTTGCAATGATCCGTAGTGATGAAATACTAGACGATCACCTGACCATGAGAGAAGTTTCCCGGATGTACGGGCTATACGCTAAGGTAGGTTTGCCAGTTTTTAACTTTGTTGTTGGGCAAAGATTTGTAATGGAAATAGATAGAAAATTAATTTATAAGACTTACGAAAACAACGGAAAATAAATGTTATCCACTTTAACCTGATGAAATTGTTCTTAAGGCTGGCATCGAAACTTCGTTGCTTGTCAAAATTTTTAGCAAAGACAGTTGTAGATTTTTCAATTTTTATACAAAAATTAATCACTGAATGGTTAATTTGAATTTTCTCCTCCCACAATTGCAAGACTGACTGAAACATTATCCCTTTACACCCTACCACGAGTCTGCATATTCTCCACACTGATCTCTATACATTCCTAAGGTGCTGACGAGGAGAATTCGTTTAACAATCAAGAGCCTCTTTAGTTGGTGATCATTTTTTTATTCTCGTGAGTAACTGAGGGGTCATTTTGTAAGGAGAAATAAGATGCTAATTACTTTTTAATTAGGTAATTTAGGGTAGAGTTGAAAACGTAAATTGGCCACCGTAAAGGGTAAAAAAGCTGACGTTTCGAGCGTTAGCCCCTCGTCAGAGCTTACTCTCAGTAATCAGAGGGCTAAGAAATTTTTGTTATACTTTTCCTCAGTCCTTTCTTGATCTAGAGTATGCTATCCTGGAACACTCGACAACAGAAGAACCCTCTATACCAAACAGAGTAAAATTAGACATCTCTCCATGGAAAAAGATCAAGATTAAGAAGACGAAAAAGAGAAATAAGAAACTTAAAGAAATGACGGAAAGAGAACTCTTACCAAGAAACGAAACTGTTACTGAATCGAAAAGCAAAGTACCAAGTTTACAAAATAGTGTCGATGGACTCTTTTTGCAAAATGGAAAAACACCAACCTTTCCCTATGCACCCCCGAATGTTGATGACATGCCAGCCTTGAAACAGATAAATGCGCCCGTATGACGTCACACGAGGAGCACGTGATCACTGAGTGTCATGAATCGACAGATCGGTACGCACGAGGGTACACGTCCCTGCAACTAGTTTCCGACAACTTCCCCGTCAATTCAAGGAGTTCAAGGGGTGTTCCAAGCGTTTAGTTTGTACACGGGGTGCGTCAGCTCAGTGAGATGTAAATAAAGGCGACGAGGAAGGAACACCAGAAAGGCTTTTTTTTTTTAAAAAAACAGGATCACAAGCGTCTTCTTATATTCCCCTCTTGTATTTCTTTATTATCGCTCTCTATTTTCTGCCGTAATTATTGTGTCCTAACTAAATAAAATCGTGATACTGGTAAAGAGTTCTGAAAAAATCCCATCGTTTCGGCTAAGAAGTCTAGCCTTTACCAAGGGATAGTGATAAAGAAAAATTTGCTAAAAGCACATAGTATATGGAGAAATGAAAATTTGAACAATTTCTATCAGTCAAGTCTTATCCTTTAGCGCTTAAGTCAAATACTCGTGTGGCAAATAAATGCCATCATCTTGATTGCCCTGTTTACAAACTCACCGCGTAGAACAAAATATTTAAGATTTTCTTGTTCCTTCGTATGAACTGTCCAAGAGAACTTGTCATCATGACTGGTTACAAGGGTTTGATTTTTCTTTGGTGGCTTCCTCGCGGAAGAAAAATATCCTGAGCTTCCTTTCATTTAGTAGACGGCAGGGTTTGGGTTTGAGTTGGCAAGTCTTTGTCGGATAATTTAAGTAAGAGAATCTCAACAGCTAACCGCACCAGAAAGACATCTAGAGGGAGCCGAGTAAAAATGTCTCGGAGGGTCATGTTACTCGAAGGCGGTAAGCGCCAATCCAGGGTTTAAAATTATACTAATATTCGCTTTTTCTGTCATAAAAGCGTCAGGAGCCGGCTCCCTGAGCAGCGTTTATTGTATTACAATCGAACTTCGATTTTCTGGACTCGTGGGAACTGTGCTGAATAGTCCGGATGATCAAAAATATGAATATCAATGAGCCAAAACTAAAAATGAATACGTATCATATAGATCATTGTACATCATTGTTGACATTTGCCAAAAGTAACCTGGTATTTATTAAAAATAGGACTAGAGAAGTGAGTCTGGATAATCGAGGTTTGACTGTAACAGTTTGCGGTATACTATCTTAGAGTAAGGCAAAACTGGATGTAATTAATTGTAAGAAAGACTAAAAACTGTCTGCTTAGCTGTAAAACTGGTTTGAGAACTTACTCTGACCCTGAGTTGGCTGAAATATATTTTCATCAACCTGGCCCAAAGTGGTTTTACCACTGAATACTTTCTCCCACCATCAGATGTACCCAAACGAGCGGAGCGTGAGCGAGAAACTTTAAAGATTTTTGTGATCCAACAAACCATTAAAAAAAGTCAACGGCGGCAGTCGGCGAGTCTTAAAGATGACAATTTCCGGTGATTAACGGCTTTCAACGAGTGGAAGAACTTAAAAAAAAGCTCCATGACAATACGTGCGAAAACAAGGAAAAGGTTGTGAGTAAAGTTGAAAGAACATCTATTGAAAGTGGGTTGATTTTTTATCTTTGATTTTTACTGCACTTCGGGAACTTAATCATGGTTGAACTCGGATGCTTTCTTTGTCTTAGAAAAGGAAAATCAAAATAGCTTATGATTTCATCGACTTTCAAAGAGTTATATTTTATACTAGTTTGTTCAAAGAAAGTGCGCGCGCAGGTCTTTCCGTGAAGGCACCAACCCGCGAAGGTCTAGAGTGACTTCAAGTAGGTAACTAGTTTTGAAATATAGAGGTAAGTGTTATTCTAATTCTTGACTAAAAAAAACTGACAATCGCTTTACTTCTTCTCGTAGCTCTTGTTCAAATCAGTCCCTTTTCTACTGAATAACTGCTTGAGTAACTGTATGTAGTTTTTGGCGGTTAAATCTGCCCCTTTTCGAAACTTTACGGCAAATAAATTGTTTTAACATATGTGTCAGTATCAAAATAGAAACAACCTTGTCGACGTCACTCTTCCTAAAGATGTTTGGTGGAACTTAAAAACGTGTTCCTCCAATTCAGCCTATAAATAAACTATACAATGCTTCATTAGCGTACGTGTTGCTTTCACCTACGTTTTTGCTAAATAAGCACTTAATTTACGCTTCATGGTTCAGTTCCTATTCTCGGAATGAAGCAAGAATTCTTGGAGCGCGGTCGTTGACTGAACTTCCAAGGCAAGTCTGAGAGCTGTGCTCCTATCCAGAGGCATTGCACAGGTTAGGAGTTGCTCAGGGCGGTTCTGCCTTCCATACTTTACACTGAGAAAAGAAAGGAGAAAAATAGAACTGTGGAGAGTTAAAAAAGAACGACTTTGAAAGGATGAATAGACTTAAATCAGCCAATCAAAGAGCAAATATAAATACTCTTGAATAACGAAACACCTCTTTTGAGGAACAAAGTCGGAAACGTGACAACTAATCGGGAGCGTTCAGATACAGCTGTGCCTTTTTCTTCAGTGCTTCAGGATTAATCAATTGCTTAAATGCCAAGCGCCCGAAACTGGATTATTCTCTGACCATTTGAGGAGTTAGTGTCTGAGATACGTTCGAAATGTCAGGAAATTTCACAAACTTTTGCTGTACCGGGCTGGCCACCGGCGATAATTTCTCCCTGGTGACTTCAACTTGGCCGTCAAGTGCTGTTATTTTAACTACCATTATCATGATTGCAATCAACCTGGCCACGATTGTTGGAAACGCTTTTGTCATCGTTGCACTGGTTAGGATGATTGTCCTAAAGGCTATGCCAGCAAACAAACACGCTATCGTATCGCTGGCGGTTGCCGATCTTTTAGTGGGCCTACTTGTCATGCCAGGCGCGATAGACAGTGTTGTGGCGGGGAAGTGGCGCTATGGACGAGTGTTGGGAAAACTAAACGCTTTTGGAAACTTCTCGTTCTGTATTTCATCTATAATGCATCTAGCGCTGCTTTCTGTTGACCGTTACGTCGCGATTTCTCGTCCCCTCGTTTATTCATCAGTGGTGACCAAGAACAAAGCTCGCGGTGCTTGTTTATTGTTATGGATATATTCGACATTATGGGCATTGCCGCCTTTGTTCGGCGTGGTTACCTACGAGTGCTTTATTCCTTACATCGGGAAATGTATCGAGACGGAATGGCTGCGTGGAAAAGGAGCTGTTTTTTTCACTGCCTCGGTGGTTTGCTGTACGTATGGGGCAGCGGTTTTAATCATGTGTTGTGTTTACCTCAAGTTATTCAAAATAGTTTCGAATCAGTCCAAAAGAATTTCTGCAGAAGTAAAAAATGTTCGATCAATTAATGGCTTGGAAACGAGAGCGAACGTTACTTCAGCTAGAAAAGGAGCTTTAACAGTCCTTATTGTCATTGGAACTTACGTGGCGTGTTGGTCGCCATTTTGTTTATTACTTATTGTGCAGACTGCTCATGGCAAGACCACAGGAGGACCAACTGCAGATCTAACAACGATGTTTGTTGGCTTTGCAAACAGTGCATGTAACCCACTCATATATTCTATTAGATACAAAGGTTTTCGCTTAGCTGTCAAGCGCATGTTCACGAGGAGCAATTAATACATGAATAATCTTTCTCGGTCGGAAAGTTACCATGCCTGAACGGATATTTAATCAAATTTTGGGGTTTTTCCTAAGGATGGTTTTAGCCTACGGCGGAGTCGAAGTCGGAGCCGTAATCAGAAGCACAGAACAGTATGATCTGATGAAAATGAAACCAACTGAATCGGAAGAAAGATATCGATGTCGCTTACAACTTTGTCAGGTCTACGATTCAGTGAAAGCAAGCTGGATTGTCGGCGTCGTAATTCCTTGTTTGGTATCAGGCTGTACTCATAGGGCTTGAGAACTGGCACTGGGATTGGTTGGTTCTTCTGCATCTGCTTGGGACTCCGACAATCTAGTTTTCACTGCATCAAAAGCGTTGGATTCATTAGCGAAATTGGAAGAAAGTAAAACCGTTCTGTTTCTTCCGACACCATCGGGCTTATGACTCAGCTTACGACTCTGATTTTCGATTTTCATCAGGTCGGAAGTGCTTTTACGACTCCGGCTCCGTCCCCTACAAAAACCAAGCTTCGTGCAGATCTATTTTTCTCTTAAACCGACCATTGACTGTTAGTTATTTTAGTTTCAAACATTAGTTGGAACTTTTATCCATAATTGGGAAGTTTCTTTGGTCGATTTAGTAAGAACTTTTCTTAATTACATTTCAGTGTTTTGTGTCACTAAAAGTCGTTCTATTTATTTATTATTTATTGAATTAAGAGATATGAATAAACCTTTTGTTCGCAAAGACGATGGAAAAACAAAACAGACGCATGCCAATGTTATTCTCCAACGTCAGAAAACTTCAGGAAGTCAGCTCCACCTTTGCAAAACTTTGTCAAAAATGTTCATTTTACGTTCCTAAGACATATTTTAAAGTATAAAGTCTATTGGAGTGAGTGGTTACACAGTCAATGCTGTGTAACCACTCACTCCCGCAGACTGTTGACATGACAACAGAACGATTCGGGCAAAAATTTCCAACTACGTTCATGCAACTGATTCTTCTAAAAATTCCGCGTGGGTCTCTTTTTACGACTTTGGCGGGTTCCCTTGCTGTCTATACTAAATCTTGAACTGGGTCTCAATAAGGTTGACTGTTAACCTTAAAAAGGCAAAAAAAAGTAGCCGATAGGCGTAAAAATTGACATGTTTTAACCGTTAGTCGTGGAAGATGTTAACCATGAAAAAAAACTGCAACAGATAGAAACTATTTGTTAAGCTGTAAAATGACCAAAATTTTAATCGTTAGCCGTTAAAGCCACCACGCCAATGTAAATTTCTCTTTAGGAAGTCCGGCTGAGAGCCAAATGTAAAATGGTTTGATAATAGTATCCGAAAGTAAATAACATCTCGAGAGTATTTGTAAAGTTTATTACGAGGCAATCGTGTATCGCATATTTCTAAAAGCAGCGCTTGTCAAACAATGAAAATATTTAGGAAGCGAATTAAGAAGGGATGGCTTTCATCTTTGACCTGCAATTCTTTTTCTTATATTTTTAGTTTTTTAGATATGATTTCGGCAAAGTTACCAGGACTTCCGAATTTCGTTTTTTTTTTTTTTGCAAGCTTACGCTTTAACAACTTTACGTAATACATGAGACGCGTGGTTGAGGTGGTTAAATACAGGTTCGACAAGATTAACGAAGACTTAGTTTAAAGCAGGAACAAACCTTAAACATCATTTTTATTGAAAAGAGTTTTTCCACTTAACAACCCTTTACATCCTAACATCAGTGTGCACATTCTCCATACTATTCTCTAAACATTTCCTAGGGTTTTTGACAGAAAAGTAGAGATGGTAAGTTTTAAGCTCGGTGAAAAATTAAGAAAGATGTTTTTTCGTCTTGTCGTAATAGACCCCGCTCACCGAAGAGTCTTTGTGGCTCAGTGATAGAGCATCGGAGCGCAAATCCGTAGGTCTAAGGTTCGATTCCTCATGGGGACTCAGAATTTTTCTTTGTCCCACGCTCGTGACAAGACGAAAAAACACCTTTCTTAATTTCCTAGGGTGTTTAAAACTCAGGATATTCTGATCATTTCCTTTGATCTCCTTATTCTTAATGTGTATTTCGCGGGTAATATTGTAGGGAGATTTAGATGTTAGCCACTATTAAGAAGTCAAAGAGTTAAAGCAGAGCTGGTTGTGATCACATGTGGGGATCAATATCAGTATCTGGGCAACTGCCCACCTACCCCTCCCCTAACTCAACAACAGTCAATTGACAACAAGTTAAGGTTAATGTTGGGTTAGGGGAGTTACCCAGATACTGATATTGATCCACATGTGGTAACCATTACAAAACATTGGAACCTTTTTCATTATTCAAATAAAATAACTTAGTCAGTTAGTTTTTCACTCTTATAGGTTTTCTTATTTCTTTCTTTTCTTCCCAAGGAAGTTCACCAGCCTTCTTGTAACACAGTCTATTTAACGTCTAACATGGGGACTGGCGCTGAAGATCCTTTATTTTTTTACAATTTGAGCCTGAAGATGTTCTTAATATATTCTTAAAGTTGTATGGTATAGCCGTATTTCAATAAATCAATGTTAAAAGATGTCCTTATGTATTTGAGTTATTTGTCCTGTTTTGTTTACATTTCTTTTAATTTAATTTAAACTTTTCAACCAAAAGAAAGAGCGAAATAAAAATTGACTCTCAGCCTAGTAATGTTCTTAGTGTGTTCTTAAAATTTTGGCTTATCTCAGCCTGAATGTTCATGTAAAAAAAGGTTCTTACAAAGAAAAAAATGGTGCACGCCTGAAGACAGATTACATCTCTTAGCTGAGGCTCTGGTGGTCCAGCGGTCAGCATTCATAAATCACACTTCTTTTGTGTGCTAAAATATAAACAGGGATCCTATTGTGGTTGTGGTTGTGGTTGTGACATTCCAGAAGCTTGGATACTCACGATATAGAAAAGGAATACAAGGAGAATTTGGTTCATCAACTGAGTTGATAACGAAAATTGGCCTGACGTTTCGAGCGTTACGCCTTCGTCATTCGCTCTGGCGAAGGGCTAACGCTCGAAACGTTAAAGAACAATCTTTTTCACCTACTTGTCTTTTAACACTAAAAGCAGCGTATCAATTGTTGCGTAAAACAGGAGAGAGATCAGTTCTCTGTACTTTTCAAGGATACCTTTCAACCAAACTTAGAGATTCCTTTGGAAACCTCTGTTATTGGAAACACGATATTTTTACCCAGCCGATTTGGAGACCCCACACAGATTTGACTCCCTTTGAACTTAGCTTTCTTGAGGGAATGTAGGGGGAATGATTTCGATCGTCGAACGAAAAATTATTTCACGGTCTCAATGCGTTCACATGAGCGTACACAGGCAAACAACGGGCAACTGAGTTCGCAAGTTCTAGACTGGTACGGGCGTTTCTTCTTCCTCGGGATCAACTTCAAAACTTGGAGGAGTCTCAGGAAATGTTGGTAAAATGACACCCTCCGGAAAATGTTGTACGGGACTATCCTTTTCAAGCCTTGTACAAGGCTGTTGGGGATCCTTTCCCTTTTCATCCACAATCAACTGTTTGGTTTGTGCCCCAACAAAATGTTCGCTTGCTTTTGTTTCATCTCCATCTTCGTTGCATGTTCTAAGTTTTTTCCTTGGCGGTTCTTTCACCTTTGTTTCGGTATCCTCCTTACAAACGTCCAAGAAAGAGTACTGGAGATCTAGGAAAGACTACAACACAGTAATATTTAGATTTAGCCATCAGTGAGAAAAACGAGGGAACAAAAGAAACTGAAAAATTTAAGATATTGTGTCATTCACGAACAGCCGAGAGGTTAAGAATTCATTCGCAATTTTCAAACAAAGAACAAAGATGTTAATTGTATAATACCACCCTGCTGTTTTTTGTTTTTAGCGATAAAATGTGGTTGGTTAGCATTAGCCGCAAAGATGGCGATATTAAATACATTTTCAGACGTATCTTGATATGCGATGTTGATCTACTGGTTCAGTGAGTTTTAAGTTTTGCTTTGTGCTGCATGTACAAGGTTTTTATATTGAAACAAAAAAACATGGAAAGCAAAATTGGCTAAAAAAATTCCAGTCTATGGCATAAGATAAATTAAACAACAGTATTTATGTGTCTAACAGTCTACAAATCAAAGATCGTTAACAAATAGGGCTATACTTATATGGAACCGCACTTAGCTGTAAATTTTTGGGCATTCTTTGGTCATATAGAAGAATGCTGAACTTTCGTGTGGTATGAGGTGCTGAATACGCAAAAATGAGTGTAGCTGTAAATCATGATGAACTAGCTGAGTCTTCTTACTTTCGAGTAGAGTCCATATATTTGCGAAACTTCCTTCATCGTCAATGAGTCGTCAAGAAGCTCGTCTGAACGAACAAGTTCAGCCTGAAAAAAATTGGCAAAATGAATCGATCCATAGATGGGCCACTCAGTCGAAGAGTCAATCAGTCCGTTAGACAATCAACTGACGCAGCACCAAAGTTTCTATACTATCTTACCCCTTACTTCATCTATCTTTTCATCTGTTTCTACTTATTCACTAATTTACTTATTTACCCGATGTGTGTTAGGGATGGCAAACTTCATTGCAAGGAATTTTTTCAATACGTTGACAGTCACTGCAGACGGACATCTGAGATAACGAGTCGGAAAGATCTGAGGAGGAAAAAGAAAGACATCATACAAAAACGTACTTTGCCGTTTGATGACAACAATTAGAAGACAATCGTTGTTTTGAACATAACTTGAATAAATACGGTCAAACATTGCCTCTCGTTTTTCAGTCAGTCAATTAGTTTTGAAGGAGCTGCGTCAATGAATGTCTATGCCCACAAATGTAAGTAAAAGTTTCAAGGTCGTAAATTTTAATTCTTTTTAAAGATCACCATACTATATCATCCTCGTTCTTCTGTTCTATTGCCTGGAGTTACGTATTACATTTAAACTGAAATTCTCTTTGTCCCAAGAAATGTCAGCTTAAGACTTCAAGGCCGCCGCCCGCGCTTTTTCGCTTTGTTTGCACCCCTTTGTTAATTTTCCTGAAATGTCGTAAGGTAGCTTCCTAGAATTCCACATACATCATCGCAAATCTTGCAGTATTTCGTATGCAACGAAAGAGTTCATGTTTGTGCGCGCTCTAAAGGGCCGAGCTGTAAAGGCGCTGTGTAATGAAGCGCTATGTCCCCAATTGTGATCAAACTGATAGTCAAAGAATGGTACGTGAGAAAGTAAAAACAAACCTGACGTTCATTCCAGATTTTTTGACGCCTATTGAGTAACAAAAACAGGAAATGATGATAGTAAGTTATAACCAATAGCACACTCTTGAATTTGTAGCTTGAATTTACACTCTCATAATCAGAGATAGCGTTTTTTTTTAATCTGCCATCATATCTTTATTTTTTCTTCTTTTTCTTTCTTTTATTTAACCAAAAGCTGGCAATGAAAACAGCAGTACTACGTGAAGTTTACGGTAGCAAATTTTGATCGCCCCCTCTCCGAGGGAGTAAACAAGCGTAATCAGGTGACTCTTTGTTGCTGTTAGCTTCATTATTTTCCTGGGCTCTTTATCACTTTCACCAACGTTTTTAGACACAGCCGTAACAGAATTATGATTCATCAAACATTTTTGCTCGCACGTGATGGTCTAAACACAGCACGTGACCAAATATTCCCATGCTGAAAGTGGGCGATATCCCAGAATATCACCCAAGCGCTACTCCCAAAAATTTTAAACCCAACGTCCACTACGATAAGTCTTCGTTTTAAATTTAATTCAAAACGAAAGAGGGTTTTGTGGTTGCCACAGAAGGGAAATCTTTTTTTGTTCACTAAGTCGCACAATAGAACACTCAAAAGAAAACAGCCCATGCTGCATACTTTAAGCTGTTAGTCAATATTTTTCACGCGCGTTTCAAAATTTTAGAAGGACAATAAACACAATAGCCTCTTTTCTGTTCCTCAAGGCTCACAGTTTTCCTCGAGCTTCGCTCTCAGAAAACTGTTCGCATCTTGGAACAGACAATGTCAGCGAACAGATATCCGTATATATTTTCGCACTAAATAGAGGATGTTGTTTAAATATAGACACAAGAACATGATATAAACTGACCTGTAATATTCCAAAGTGATAAACATAGGATCTTCCATCTTCACCTCTGCGTTGTTCTTTGATTTCGTTTCACAATCAGTTGTCGCTGCCCCAGTTTCACCTGTCAAGATTGTATTGATTGAAAATAAAAGTTTATGAAAACATAAGAAATAAGAAGGTTCTAAGCATATACTTCGAGAATAAGGAGAGTATCGATGTTCAGCTCGTAAAAATTCTAAGTATCATGTTTCAACTGCCCTTGATGATTCGATTATTCTGGCGATATTGTGCTTATTACAATCAAAATCAAGATATTGACAATTTAAATACTCTTACAATAGAGATATCAAGAGATTATTCTTAAATTTACATTTAAAAACAACATTGCCTCAACAGTTAAGGTGTGTGGACTCTGGAGGAGCCAGCTCCAGGGCCGAGTTGTTCAAAGCACGGTATTAGCAATCCGGGCGGATTAACTTGCCCTAGCAATGTACCGTTTGTTACAAATTAAATGTATCTAACGTAAGATTAATGTTAAACGAATTTCAACACATTTCTTCCTCTTACCTTCGTTTGTAGAATTTTCCTCTTCTATTTTGTCTTCGAATTTTGTACGGCGATTGAATTCGTCTGTAATATAACAAAATGGGATAAAAAACAATAAGATTTCTCTTACTAACTTTTTTACTGTCTCGTTACTTTTGATTAAGGAAATGCCTATCTAAAGTTAGACTGATTGCTTAAGCTCGCAGGTGTGGTATGTAGATGTGCTGATTTATCCCAAATTTTCCCGGGATGTGCTGACCAAGAACAAGATTTGATTTCCTTGCGAAATAAAGACAAGCGTGGGAAAACGGAAGCGACCAAGTTTCGATTGTTTCTAGATTTGCAGCTGATTGGTTGAGAGAATCATGGTGCGAGTTTCTGGACCAATCACATAGCGAAAGGAAGTAAAACCAATGATTGGTCCAGGAAACTCGCACCACTTTTTTAACCAATCAGAATCAAAATCAAAACCAATTGAGCACTAGACTTTTCTAGCACTTCAAACGGTTTGATTATCTTTGATATTTTCTCTAGTTCTGGCTGGCTGCTGTGTTTACTTCAGTTTGGTTTTACGCCACTCAATCATAAAGCGCTCAACAAATATTTCTCGATTAAACCGCTATGCAAAGACTTGTGCTCAGATTCCTCTCTCCCTGATCGATGGAGAAGGCCTGTCGCCGTCCATGAGACTTTACTGCCATTACAATATATATATCTTACTAGACGTTTTGGTTTGTGGTATTGCTGAATATTTTTACACGTGGTTTGTGTTTTGACTCGCCCTACGTACGGGCTATAAAAATACGGTAAAACTCGTCTGATAAGTTATTTATTATATAACTGCTTTTTTTTTTCAGCTGAGTCTTTCTGTTTATTTCTCATAAGGCGGGAAAAGCAAAGTGGATAGAGAAGCGTAGCACGCGCAGCCGACTGATTAAACAGCCTTTTTTACATTACACAATAACCAACTGTCCAAATAACCGTACAATATCGCATGATATTTGTACTCTATTCGCTCGTTATCTGTACCCTACTTGGTGAAGTTGGATAATAATTTATATAATAATCCTTCTTACCATATACTAATCCTGGAACAAGCTTGTTCACAATTTCCTGGAGCGGTCGGTCGGGTCTGCCATAGCATAGAAGACAGAGAAAGAGGGATTAAAACACTGTAATACCCTCTATCTCCAATTACATCTGGAGCTTCTTTTTTTTGCGTACCCTAAATATATCGTTTTGAAAGCCCAACCCTCGATATTTTGTACACCCCGCTATTTCGAGCAAAATTTGTGTTGTCAAGAGTTTTACAGCTGAACTGCCACTAAAACTACTACGGATCAGGGTGAGAAAAATTCAGGATTTGCTGAGGCATAGTTATTCTGAATTTGAACAACGATTGCTGAGTTTCGCCGCTTTGAAATATATCTTATTAGACGTTTTGGTGTGTAGTATCGCTAAGTATTTTTTACGAGTTGTACCCTATGTTGACGAGTCTGTAGGGCGAGTAAAAAATAGGGCACAACTCATAAAAATACTCAGCGATACTGCACGCCAAAACGTCTAATAAGTTATTTGTTATTCAACTGCTTTTTTTCTGCGAAGTCTCTCTGTTCATTTCTCATAAGGCGGGAAAAGAAAAGCGGATGGAGAGGCGTAGCGCGTGCAGCCAAACGGTAAACAGGTTTTTTTTACAGTACGAAATAACCTATTGTCCAAATAACTGTACAGTATCGCAGGATATTTGTACTCCATTCGCGCGTTATTTGTACTCTACTTTGTGCAGTTGGATAATAATGTACGGTTATTTGGAGAAATAAGCAAAAAGACTTAGAAGAAGAAAAAAGCAGTTGTATAATAAATAACTAACTTATAAGAGGTTTTGCTTTGTGGTATCGCTGAGTATTTTTACTCGTTGTTTGTAGTTTGACTCGCCCTAAGGGCTTGTCAAAATACGACACAACTCCTAAAAATTACTCAGCGATGCTACACACCAAAACGTCTGATAAGATAAATTTATTGCAGTCCTTTTTGATCACAACTCTTTATTCAACGTGTTTTATCGCATTGCTGAAAATTAACCACACAATTCATAATTTTTATTTTTCGTATGATAGATTGTTTATGCTGCAATTAAACAAGAATGAAAAAACGGACCGCAAAGGTGAAAGTCTACGAACGACCGAAGCGAGGACTTCCGTCGTTAAGTTCTTATATATTTATCTGCTTGGACAGTCCTAGGGTAGTTTGGGAAAAATTCAAACAAAGCGTCTTCTACAGTTACTCACCTTATATGAAGCAGTGGTTTGGTTTTGTGGACCTCAACATCACAGACAGGACAGTGATACGATGTCTGGAGATATTTAACGATACAGCTACGACAAACTACAGAAAAAAAAGGTACAAAAATTAATACTTTGTCAACTCTAACAGTGAAACTCACAAAGGAAACACAATATATTATGAACCTATGGAACTCTGTATGGATTGCATTACTTTAAACTTATTGAGAAATTTTAGAAAGAAATGAACGTATATTTTAGACGGCTAGATCTCACGAGAGAGTACATAAATAATTAAACGTAATATTCAAAATTCAGCTATAGGAGTTGAACAATTGCAACAAGCACCCCTTTACTTACAAACCTCAACCAGATGTTTGCACGGCTAATTTTTATTGGCTATCAAAGACATTCTATATTAACAACAAGAATCTATGATTAAAATAAATCAGTTTGTAAACAGTGTGAACTTACAAGAATGCAGGCACTCGATAATCGTTGTTGCGTCTACAAGGTACCCAGAACACAATACACACATCAAGTGAGGATTTAGTTCTCCAAGCGGCATCTTAAGCAAAGACATGTTGGCGATAACGATGGCAGCGACGATGCGTGATCTCTGAGCGCCACTGTCGTGTGTCTAGCGAGAAAACTTAAGACTTCCGGTCTGCTGTCGTGCGTGTTCAGCAAAAAAGCGAAAGACTTCCTCTCCTACTCTCTCCGGTATGACAAAGGATGATGAAAACTGAAAACAGAAATGAATTCAAAATTGTCAGAGGACACAACTAAAATCACGCTATACGAGCAACCTATCAAAATGATAATTCAACGATCCCACAACTGTGTCCCGTATGCGTTATTTCTGATTTCTTCTTCTGTTGCCAACGGCTTCGAGTAAACCGTGATGAGTTTGAACTGGCTGCCAATATTTGTGATTTCATCACCTATTTCAAGGTGATTTTGAGTCGCGGTTCCTTCAGAAGATCAGGTTATGAACGTCGATCTTCAAACTTGAAAGTTTCAGGAGAACGTTGACGCAAAAATGAGAAAATAGCTAAAGGTTGTTTTTTTACTGTAACTAGAGAACTAGGGCAGTGACGTTCTGGAAACGCGAACAGCAACCGGAAGAAGAATAAAGCTAATTCTCGTGCGCTTTGACGTCAATGGATCGACTGTACAGTCGTCATTTCCATACTTAAAACCAAATTGTGCAGACCACAAAGGTACAGTGAGCATCAGGAATGATAAGTTTTAACTTCTGGCTTCCGTCCGCGCCTCAAAAACATTTGTAACTTTTAACTTACACGTAATATAATTCTATAATTAGTAAAGAAATGAGGTTGAGCTTGAGGATCGCTCACTGATTTGATTTCAACTTTAGCATTGTAGCTGTTATCATTTTCGGCCAAGGATAATTTCATCGATTGCGAAATATTACGTTATGGGAACCGTTTTCTCAGCTTTCACATGATACAATTCCTCACGTATCGTTAAAACACTTTTTATCAACCCCTCGCCCCCCTAACATCAACATATATATTCTTTATACATTTCCTGCGGTGATAACTAGGAGAATTTGTTTCACAATCAAGAGCTTCTTCAGATGGTAATCATTTCCTTTATTCTCGTAACCTTAAAGTGTGATTCATGGGTGATATTGTACGGAGAAAGTAGATGTTAGTCACTCCTAGGTGTCAAAGAGTTCATGGAGACGTACAGTTGCATCATGGCTTAAGGATTTCACTTTGAACTGAGGTTAAGTTGTAACTGTTCTTATTTTCACCATTTGTTGCCTGAGGTGACTTCATGGATCGTTTTTGGAATACTGTGAAAGAGAAAAAAACACCTGCCTCTTTGTTGAAAGACCCGACAAGTTTTTCGCTGTTCTTCAGCCCAACGAAATATATTTCTCTTAAAAAGGATGCAATATATTACGAGACTTCTTCAAAAATCTAAATCTGCGGCAGATCGATTATGTACGCTCATTGCGAATGAAGACATTTTTTCTCAGTTTTTGGCGACCCTTTTTTTAATCCTTGTTACATGTTCAGTTCATGCCTAAGCATAATTTTCTGGTCTTCTCGCGTTTTTAGTACACCTCTCAGTTAGTATGAGCGCCAGAATTGATCAATTTACCGGCCCGTATTTCACTGTGCAGTCCCCTAAATTCAAAAGTTTGGTAGAATGGAAATCTTCCCCCTCTGTTTGAACCCAGAGTTGCGATGAATATTTTACTTTACGGTCCGTACTGTGGAATATCGTATTTTCGCTCGACGGATGTATGGTCCGCACTCTTCACGCTTGAACCGTACTTTTTACTGTGAGGACCTGGAATTCGTTCAGTTAGAGGTTTACAATGCATAGAAAAGGCACAAGCAATTATGTCATTGAGAACGCTGAATATTCCAAAAGGCAGCAATGATATGACAGACGTATCATTTGGCGAAG